CCAAAAAAAAAACAAAAAAAAAAGCTCGGTCAGCTCACTGCAAGCTCCGCCTCCCGGGTTTACGCCATTCTCCTGCCTCAGCCTCCCAAGCAGCTGGGACTACAGGCGCCCGCCACCATGCCTGGCTAGTTTTTTGTATTTTTTAGTAAGAGACAGGGTTTCACCATGTTAGCCAGGATGGTCTTGATCTCCTGACCTCGTGATCCGCCCGTCTCAGCCTCCCAAAGTGCAGGGATTACAGGCTTGAGCCACCACAGCCGGCCAGGAGTACTGATGTCTTTAACTGTGTGGTTAAGCAATTTTATTTCAAGGATGCTCTTACTGGTAGTTACTGACTTATTTTCAGGTCACATATACTTAAGCATTGTAATTATTTTATGTAGTCATCCCTTGTTATTGAGGGAATTGGTTCCAGGACTCCCTGTGGATTCCAAAATCTGAGGATGCCCAAGTCCCTTAAATAAAATGGCATGGTATTTGCATATAACCTACACACATCCTCCGCTATACTTTAAGTCATCTCTAGGTTACTCATAGTACCTAATACAATGCCTATGCATCACTTCATTCACGTGGGTTTGTTGTAGTACTTGACACATGGCAAATTCAGGTTTTGCTTTTTGGAACTGTGGAATTTCTTTGTTTTTCCTGAATATTTGAGATTTGAGGTTGGTTGAATACACAGATGCAGAACTAGCAGATATGGAGGGCCATCTGTATATATAAACTCAGTTTCCTGATACCAGGGTACTTGAAAGATCACATGACCTCTCCGAATTCAGCCAGTTAAGTAAGTGCCATCAGTAGGACTCAACTCCAGGTGCTCTGATTCCAATGCTTGGCTTCCCCCCAACTCCCATGGCACAGTTTCCTCCCTCTGATACTTTACTTTTTTCTTTAGACAGGGTCTCACTCTTGCCCAGGCTGGACTGTAGTGGTGCGATCTCTGCTCACTGCAGCCTTCACCTCCAGGGGTCAAGCGATCTTTCACCTCTGCCTCCCAAGTAACTGGGACCCTGTGCCACCATACCCAGCTAATTTTTTTGTTTTTTGTTTTGTGTAGATGGAGTTTCACTATGTTGCCCAGGCTGGTCTCAAACTCCTGGGCTCAAGTGACCCACCTCAGCCTCCCAAAGTGCTGGGATTACTACAGATGTGAGCCACTGTGCCTGACCTGAATATACGTATTATTAATTCTCTGATTTCTATGGCAGGGACTGCTTATACTTCTAATGTATACTTACTGCATTCTGGTTTTTGTTAAAATTTGATAATTTATGTCCATTACTCTCACTGATTCATTACTCTTGAAGGTAGGGGTCATGCCGTATTTTAGTGCCATGTACAAATTCAGTAAATATATTTTGAGCAACTAATAGGTACTGAGCACTTATGGAGCTTACATTTAATGGTAAGTAAATATTAATTGAATTTTTATTTTTTTCAGTGTATCCAAAGTGTGTACATCAGTAAGATCATAAGCAGTGATCGAGATCTCCTGGCTGTGGTGTTCTATGGTACCGAGAAAGACAAAAATTCAGTGAACTTTAAAAATATTTACGTCTTACAGGAACTGGATAATCCGGGTCAGTAATATTCTAAGATCAGCTTTTCTCTTATATATGAGAATGTCGGTATTCTGAACAAAGAGGAGTGGAGAAGGAAGCAAGTTACATCTTGTCTAGGAGTATGCTTTCCTGCATAAGGGGACCTTGCTCGATGTGGACTTTGTTAAATGGGTTAAACAGCTCTGGGGTGAGAAAGGGTCCTTCTGTTAGCCTTGTGGTAAAGGCAACCACTGACATTATTCTGATTTTTCCTTCCATTTGACTCCCTACCTCTGATCAGGTGCAAAACGAATTCTGGAGCTTGACCAGTTTAAGGGGCAGCAAGGACAAAAACGTTTCCAAGACCTAATGGGCCACGGATCTGACTACTCACTCAGTGAAGTGCTGTGGGTCTGTGCCAACCTCTTCAGTGATGTCCAATTCAAGATGAGTCATAAGAGGATCATGCTGTTCACCAATGAAGACAACCCCCATGGCAATGACAGTGCCAAAGCCAGCCGGGCCAGGACCAAAGCAGGTGATCTCCGAGATACAGGTGGGCATATTTCCCTGTTCTCTTAAATTGGCACTTAATTGTTGTTTTTGTTGTTGTTTTAGGAGTTCAGGAGTCTTGGCTCAGCCTCAGCCTCCAAAGTAGCTGGGACTATAGGCATGTGCCATTGTGCCTAGTGCAGTTTTATTGCTTTCTGTGTACCTGACTTCAAGCATTTGCTTTTTACCATTTAGAGTAAAATGAAAAAATAAAGTGAAGCCAGGAGAAGACTCCTGTGTAACATTAACACTGCAGATGGCCATGCCATTAGCTATCTGAAGGACTCTGTCAGAACAAGGTTGTCTTGCCTTTTTTTTTTGAGACGGAGTCTCACTGTGTCACCCAGGCTGGAGTGCAGTGGCACAATCTTGGCTTACTGCAACCTCCGCCTTCCAGGTTCAAGCGATTCACCTACCTCAGCCTCCCAACTAGCTGGAATTACAGGCATGAGCCACTGTGCCCAGCTAATTTTTGTATTTTTAGTAGACATGGAGTTTCACCACGTTGACCAGGCTGGTCTCGAACTCTGAACTGCAGATGATCCACCCCTTGACTCTCCCAAAGTGCTGGGGATTACAGGTGTGAGCCACTGTGCCTGGCCAGTTGTATTGACTTTAATATTACCACGAATGGTGATTATTTGAAAAGTTGTGTGAAGTCATTATAGCAGTTGATTTCCTTAGCCACTTTCTCTGAGTCCTGAAAATGTTAATAGTCTAATTTTCAGGGAACTTTTAAATGCATGTTTCAGTTTTAACTGGAAGAACTTCTCACTTGCTGAAAATTGTTTTTTCCTCCCTCCCTTTTGTTTACCCTTGCAACAGGCATCTTCCTTGACTTGATGCACCTGAAGAAACCTGGGGGCTTTGACATATCCTTGTTCTACAGAGATATCATCAGCATAGCAGAGGATGAGGACCTCAGGGTTCACTTTGAGGAATCCAGCAAGCTAGAAGACCTGTTGCGGAAGGTTCGCGCCAAGGAGACCAGGAAGCGAGCACTCAGCAGGTGTGCACTCAGCCCGGGTCAGCTGCCTACACTGCCCTTATGTCAGAAGCAGGCTGGGTGTGGTGGCTCACACCTGTAATTCCAACACTTTGGGAGGCCAAGGCAGGCGGATTGCTTGAGCCTAGGAGTTTGAGACCAGCTTGGGCAACATGGCAAGACCCTCTTTCTACCTGAAAAAAAAAAAAAAAAATCAGAAGCAATGCACTGCTACACATCCCTTAACAAACCAGAAGCAACACATTGCTTTGACCTGCCTGGCTACTTAACTCGACTGTGCCACTGCCTCATTGTATTCCTCTAAAACACTTACTTTATTTCAGGATACCAGAAGCAATTTGCTGCTTTATCTCTGGCAAGAGCTGGCATGATATTTCTCTAAAATAACACAGCCCTCCATTTCCTGGGGGTAAACAGTTATGGTCTAAGAGTATCTTCAGCTGTACTGACTAGCACAGTCATGTGTTAATTAGTGATGGGGATACCTTCTTAGAATTGCATCATTAGGCTATTTTGTCATTGTGCAAACATAGAGGGTATTTCACACACCCAGAGAGTACAGCCTACTACATACCTGGGCTATGTGGTTAGTCTATTGCTCTTAGGCCACAAACCTGTACAGCATATTACCATACTGTTTACTGTAGGCAGTGGTATTTGCGTATCTAAATACATCTAAAGGTATAGAAAAGATACAATAAAATTATGATACAGGCCAGACGCGGTGGCTCACGCCCTGCAATCACAGCACTTTGGGATGCCGAGGTGGGTGGATCACGAGGTCAAGAGATCGAGACCATCCTGGGCTACATGGTGAAACCTCATCTCTACTAAAAATGCAAAAATTAGCTGGACGTGGTGACGCGTGCCTGTAATCCCAGCTACTCAGGAGGCTGAGAATCGCTTGAACCCGGGAGGCAGAGGTTGCAGTGAGGCAAGATCGTGCCACTGTACTCCAGCCTGGTGACAGAGTGAGACTCCCTCTCAAAAAAAAAGAAATATGGTATAAAGATAAATGGTATACTTGCATAGGGCACTTAACATGAATGGAACTTGTAAGACTGGAAGTGGCTTTGGGTGAGTAGTGAGTGAATGTGAAGGCCTAGGACATGACTGCATACTTTTATATAACTGGCAGCACAGTAGGTTTGTTTACACAGCATCACTACAGATGCACGAGTGATGCCTTGTGTGACAAACTTAACGACAACTGTGATGTCAGTAGGTGATAGGAAATTTTGAGCTCCATTATCATCTTAAGAGACCATCATTGTATATGTGCCCCATTGTTGACCAGAATGTTAGTGGCACATGCATGTGCATTGTTTGCTTTATTCTCTGTAAATTGGAGACAACAATACCTGCCTCATTAGGTTACTATGAAGAGTTAATGAAGAGCACTTAGAAAACAGAGCCTGTTAGGGAGCAAAAACTCATAAATGTTAGTTATTATCATTGTTGTTGAAATTGTGTCATTCTGATTTCTTTTTTTTTTTTTTTTGAGACGGGGTGTAGCTCTGTCGCCCAGGCTGGAGTGCAGTGGTGCGATCTCTGCTCACTGCAAGCTCCGCATCCTGGGTTCACGCCATTCTCCTGCCTCAGCCTCCCGAGTAGCTGGGACTACAAGCACCTGCCATCACACCCGGCTAATTTTTTGTATTTTTAGTAGAGATGGGGTTTCACCATGTTAGCCAGGATGGTCTCGACCTCCTGACCTCGTGATCCACCCACCTCTACCTCCCAAAGTGCTGGGATTACAGGCGTGAGCCACTGCGCCCGGCCTCTGATTTCTTATAAACCTGAGACCAATAGAAACCAGATTGCTAGATTCTTTTTTTTTTTTTTTTTTGAGACAGTCTCACTCTGTTGCCCAGGCTGGAGTGCAGTGGTGCGGTCTCGGCTCACTGCAACCTCCGACTCCCTGGTTCAAGTGATTCTCCTGCCTCAGCCTCCCAAGTAGCTGGAATTACAGACTGTGCACCACCACGCCAGGCTAGTTATTGTATTTTTAGTAAAGACAGGGTTTTACCATGTTGGCCAGGCTGGTCTTGAACTCCTGACCTGGGATTAAAGGCCTAAACCACTGCACCCGGCATGATGGGTCTTTATTCAAAGTGAGGGAAGGGATCCTAGAAAAACAGAGACGAGGCCAAGCATGGTAGCTCACACCTGTAATCCCAGCACTTTGGGAGGCCAGTGTGGGTGAATCACAAGGTCAGGAGTTCAAGACCAGCCTGGCCAATATGGTGAAACACCATCTCTACTAAAATAAAAAGAAATTAGCTGGGTGTCTTGGTGGGTGCCTATAATCCCAGCTACTTGCGAGGCTGAGGCAGGAGAATCGCTTGAACCCGGGAGGCAGAGGTTGCAGTGAGCTGAGGTCACGCCACTGCACTCCAGCCCAAGTAACAGTGTGAGACTCTGTCTCAAAAAAAAAAAAAAAAAAGACGAGACAACCGGTACAGTACTTACAAGGCTATTACGATGATTAAATGAGAGACTAGCTGTGAGGTGATTGGTATAGTGCTGTGCTTAATACACACTATCATTTTACTCATTTTATTATACGGGCTAAGTGTTTCTAATCTGAAAATCCAAAATTAGAAATGCTGTACAATCTGAAACTTTTTTGAGCACCAACCTAATGCTCAAAGGAAGTGCTTATTGGAGCATTATGGGTGTTAGATTTTTGGGTTAGGAATATTCAAACAGTAAGTACTATGAAATGCAAATATTCCCAAAAAAAATCTGAAATCTGAAACATTTCTGGTCCTAAGCAAGCATTTTGCAAAGGGATACTCAACCTGTAGTACATTCTTTATCATTATTTTAAGTAGTTAATATATTGTGCTATAGATTCTGAGGTGGTATTATAGAAAATTCAATTGTATTATTAAAAAGCACATTTATATTTGAGAGCTTAGGATTATTGGAGAGAATAAAACAGTGAAGCTTTGGTGTTATGAGGGAATTTTAGAAAAGTGCAGTCTTTCAGTTCATGCTCTTTCATTTTTCACTCCCTCAGGTTAAAGCTAAAGCTCAACAAAGATATAGTGATCTCTGTGGGCGTTTATAATCTGGTCCAGAAGGCTCTCAAGCCTCCTCCAATAAAGCTCTATCGGGAAACAAATGAACCAGTGAAAACCAAGACCCGGACCTTTAATACGAGTACAGGTGGTTTGCTTCTGCCTAGCGATACCAAGAGGTCTCAGGTAGGTAGAGATGCCTTTTGTTGTTGTCTTTGAGACAGGGTCTCGTTGTGTCGCCCATGCTGGAGTGCAGTGGGATAAGCATGACTCACTACAGCCTTGACCTCCTGGGCTCAAATGATCCTTTTGTCTCAGCCTCCCAAGTAGCTGGGATCACAGGCGTGTGACATCACACCCAGCTAATTTATTTATTTTTTAAGAGACTGAGTCAACTGGGCACAGTGGCTCACGCCTGTAATCCCAACACTTTGGGAGGCCGAGGTGGGTGGATTATCTGAGGTCGGGAGTTCAAGACCAGCCTGACCAACATGGAGAAACCCCATCTCTACTAAAAATACAAAATCTGTAATACCCAGCTATCAGGAGGCTGAGGCAGGAGAAAGCACTTGAACCTGGGAGCAGAGGTGGCTGAGCTCGATGTCACGCCATTCGCACTCCAGCCTGGCCACAAAAGCATAACTCCGTCTCAGAATAAAAGGAACGGTGTCTCACTATGTTGGTTCAAACTTCCGGATCTTAAGTAAATCTCCACTTTGGCTTCCCAAATGCTGGGGTGCTCGGGATACAGA